AAGAGAATTGCTTAAACCAGGGAGTCAGAGGTTGCATGGGCTGGGATTGTGCCATTGCACTCCAGCCTGGGTGACAAGAGTGGGGCTCGGTCTCAACAACAACAGCAAAGGGAAATTTTAGAACTTTCATAGCCATGTTTGGAAAAGCAAAAAGAAATTAAGTAAAATTAATTTTAGTGATGAGTTTCATTTAATTCATTATATCCCAATAATACCCTTTTGACATATAATCAATATAAACAGTATTAATGAAATATTTTACTTTTTTATTCTAAGTCTTCAAATTCTGGTGTGTATTTTGTACTTTCAGCACATGTGAACCTGAGCTGGTCACATTACAGGTGCTCAACAGTCACATGTGGCTAGTGGCTACCGTATAGGACAGTGTATACTGTGATTGATGGTGGAATGGCAGACAAGTTAACTTTCAGCAGTACACTAGTATAAAGTCAATATTTTTGGGCCAGGCGTGGTGGCTCACGCCTGTAATCCCAGCACTTTGGAAGGCCGAGGCAGGTGCACCACGAGGTCAGGAGTTCGGGACCAGTCTGGCCAACACAGTGAAACCCTGTCTCAACTAAAAATACAAAAAATCAGCTGGATGTGGTGGTGTGCGCCTGTAATCCCAGCTACTGGAGAGGCTGAGGCTGGAGAATCGCATGAACCCAGAATGCAGAGTTTGCAGTGAGCCAAAATCCCACCACTGCACTCCAGCCCAGGTGACAGTGCAAAACTCTTGTCTCAAAAAAAAAAAAAAGGCTATATTTTTATTAGGGAAAATATACAGTGCTAACATCTTACATGTTCAGTTCTGCCTTGCGGAGGGGGCAGTGGAACGGGGAACTTTGGTCACTATTAGCTAAGCCTTCTGCTCACAGGAATGAGGAAACTTGTTCATACAGGCTTAGAAATGTGGGTCATGGTGAATGTGTAATTTGTAAGTCCTAAGAGAAAAAAGAATTACAAACAGCCGGGGAATTATTAAGAGAACTAGACCAAAGATATTCTGTGAGTTTTGCCATTTAATAACATTTTCAGAGCCCAAACTCTGGGTGAGACCCAAGCTCTGCCTGGGAAATCACAATGCCCAGATTTCCTCCCACATGCGTCAGCTTTTCCTCGCTCTTTTAATTATATTAAATTCATAACCCCCTCCTTCCACTGCCCCCACCCACCACATCAGCCCTACGGTGTGTACACAACTATTTTCCTACAAGTACGTGTTATAGATCGTACTCACGTGACTGGAAATTTGCTCACTGTGATTCAGGAAGAGACGTCTACCTCTCGCGCAGGAACTCTCTCTAGAGCATTGCCTGACAGTATAAAAGTTTCCAGGTGAGGTTAAGAAAGAGGTCAGGAAATGTGTGCCAATTAAGCTAAACCTAAAATTATATGAGAATAAACCCTTTTTAAAATTGCCAATATGGTGAAACCCCACCTCTACTAAAAATACAAAAATTAGCTGGCCGTGGTGGCGTATGCCTGTAATCTCAGCTATGCAGGAGGCTGAGGCAGGAGAATTACTTGAACTTGGGAGGTGGAAGCTGCAGTGAGCCAAGATTGCACCACTGCCCTCCAACCTGAGTGACAGAGGAGACGGGACTCTGTCTCAAGAAATAATAATAGTAAGTTAAATTAAATATAAAATAGAAGAGCTTACACTTGCATTAATTATCTATTTCTGCGTAACAAATTACTCCAAAACTTAGTGGCTTAAAGTAACAGACATTTACTATCTCACAGTTTCTGGGGTCAGAAATTTAGCAGAGGTTTGGTTGGATGGTTGTGACTCAGGTTTTTTCATGAGGTTACAAACAAAATGTCATCTGAAGGCTTGACTGGGGCTAAAAGATTCCCTTCCAAGAGGGCTCACTCACACGGCCGTTGGCAGGAGGCCATAGTTCTTCACCACATGGGCCCCTCCACAGGGCTGCTTGAGCGTCCTCACTGCATGGCAGCCGGCTTCCTCCACAGTAGGTGGTCCAAAGAGAGAGCAGAGAGAAAGCCACACCACCTTTCTTAACCTAGTTTGGAAGCCACACCCTTCCACTTTAACCACACTATTCATTAGAAGTGAGTTACTAAGTCCAGCCCCCACTCAAGGGGAGGGAAATTAGGCTCCACCTTTTGAAGGCAGGAGCATATTATTTTTAACTCAAAGAGTTCAGGGGCATCTTTTAAAACTGCCACAACATTTGCTGGATACACTTCTCTTTTCTCTCTTTTTTTTTTTTTTTTTTTTTTTTTGAGATGGAGTCTCACTCACAGGCAGGAGTGCAGTGGCACAAACTTGGCTCACTGCAGCCTCCACCTCCCAGGTTCAAGTGATTCTCTTGCCTCAGCCTCCTGAGTAGCTGGGATTACAGGAGCATACCAGCACACCCAGCTAACATTTGTATTTTTAGTAGAGACCTTGCTTCACCATGTTGGTCAGACTGATCTCGAACTCCTGACCTCGTGATCTGCCCTCACTGGCCTCCCAAAGTGCTGGATTATAAGTGTGAGCCACTGTGCCCAGCCTGGATACACTTTTCTACAGTAGTTCCTCCTGTCCTCCCTCACACCCAAACTCTAATGCTAAGTTCTGCAGGATCAATTGAGAAGGTTCCTGGCCCACAAGGTATCTTCCCACCAGGCATATCAGGGCCCCCTAACACAGGCCTTAGTAAACAGCCTAAGCCTGTGCTTATTAAACTGCAGGTTTTGACCCATTAGTCGATCTGGGCCAGTTTTCTTTTTTAATAGATGAGATGAGACAAGAAAATATGTGTATGCATTCCACGTAGTAAGGATAGATTTCATAAAATGTTTATTTTAATTCATTCATTCATTTGCACAAGCAACAGACCTTGGGGGCCTACGATGTGCTGGGAACCATTTGGGGCACTTGATACATGAATGAACGAAAACAAAGACCCCTGGAGCTAACAGTGTAGTGGAGGTATCCAGACCGTAAAATGACTGTAGTAAAATCAAGACTCTAGTATGCTCAAAGGTTTGATGGGAAAAGGAAAAACAGCAATATAAGGAGGTTCAAGAGCGGTAGGCGTGAGTTGCAACTGTAAATAAGGTACATAGGTAAGCGTCCTCGAGGAAGTGGTAAACAAATGATGTGTGCATACATATGTGTTGATATGGCTTGGATCTGTGTCTCCACTCATATCTCATGTCGAATTGTAATCCCCAGTGTTGGAGGTGGGGCCAGGTGGGAGGTGATGGAATAATGGGTGTGGCTTCTCCTGGCTTAACGCCATCCCCCTTGGTGTTGTGTAGTGAGTGAGTGAGTTATCGTGAGATCTCATTGTTTAAAAGCCTGTCTGCCTATCCCTCCTTCTCCAGCCATGTAAGATGTGCCTACTCCCCATCTGCCTTCCACCATGATTCTAAGTTTCCTGCGGTCTCCCCAGGAGCTGAAGCTGCTATGCTTCCTGTAAAGCCTGTAGAACTGTGAGCCAATTAAACTTCTTTTATATGTAAATTACCCAGTCTCCGGTATTTCTTTTTGGCAATGTGAGAACACACTAATACATATGTAACCTATGTGTGTATATGTATATGTGTGCAGCTGTATGTGTGTATATGTATGTGTGTACTGAGTCTGTTATAAAATTAATTTCTTACCATGAATCATACCAGCAAATCAAAAACCACTGCCATGAGACCACAATTTGGCCTAGATTCCATGGGAAGGAAGAAGACAGGGAGAAGAAGAGGAACACCCCGTTCCCGCTGTGTTCGCAGAACCGGAGCTTGTACTCTTTGGTAAGGAAAGAGACACAAGCTCTGGGCTGGTGTGGAGCACCGTCTCAAATCAGGAAATTCTTCACCTTTTTAACCTTGCTAAACCCAGGCCATTTATTAAAAAGTCATCCCAACCGTTAGCAAGCTCAATACTAAACTCACATTTGCAATAGACTATACTGTGTATGTGTGGCATAAGGAATAAAGCCAAACATGGTGGATTCTTCATCCTAATGAGGCAGGAGATAGAGGAAGAACTCCAGGGAATTTCCTAAAAATAAGAGTTAGAAGGAAAGACTGTGTGGGGAGATGGGATTTCTATAGACTGTGCAGTCTTGGATGGGAGAAAATGTATGACCCAGAAAAAATGCAAATACTATAGCTCTAAATTGTGAGATGGTAAAGTAGTGAGATCAGAGCCAGACTGATTTTTAAATCCATGTTAAGTCCACGTTAAGGAGTTTGAACTTTATCCTGAGAGCAATGCAGTGTCACTGAAGAGTTTTAAGCAGGGTTCTGTATTTTCGAATAATTTTAGAACATTGAGCCTCATGGAAGTAAATAGCAAAAATCCTCAAAGCACAATGTGGACAACCCTTGAGGTGTGCAGAGCAGTTTGTTGAAGGTGGGAAGAATATACAAGATACACTTTTCTTTTTAAAATTTTTTTTTTAAAGACGGGGTTTCACTGTGTTGGCCAGGCTGGTCTCAAACTCCTGACCTCAGGTGATCTGCCCGCCTTGGCCTCCCAAAGTGCTGGGATTACGGCGTGAGCCACCACACCCAGCTGAGATATACTTTTAACAAACAAACAAAAAGTATTGGCTGGGTGAACACCTATAGTCTCAACACTTTGAGAGACCGGGGTGGGCAGATCACTTGAGTCCAGGAGCTCAAGGCCAGCCTGAGCAACATGGCAAAACCCCGTCACTGCAAAAAATACAAAAATTAGCCCAGTGTGGTGGTGGGCCCTTACAGTTCCAGCTACTTGGGAGACAGAGGCAGGAGAATCACTTGAGCTTGGGAGCTCGAGGCTACAGTGAGCTGTAATCGAGCCATTGCACTTCAGCCCGGGCAACAGAATGAGAATTCTGTCTCAAAAAGAAAAAAAAAGTATTAAGCGTCACAAAGATGTAATATAGATATGTCAGCATATAATTATATGTAATTTATAAGTAAATGTATACTGGGAGTACATACTCAAAACTTTTGTGCTGATAGGGATGTGCAGTCAGACACGTTTAGAGACCTCCGCTATAGATGACCTGGAAGAACGCCCAGGAGGTGGCTCCCCCTCAGCCCCTGCTTGAGAGGCTTGCTCCCACCTCGGGGAAGCAGGGCTCCTCCCAAGGCTTTGTTCACAATGGAGGCTTACAGCAAGAGCCACCAGCACGGCATGCTCAACGATGCATGCACTAAGTGGAAGAATTTCCTGGCCATGCATCCCAACTCTGGCCCCAGCTGCACGCTGTCCAGGAAAAGGAGGAACCCAGGTGGTCCAAGGAAGAAGGAACAGAAACAGGAAGTCGTGGCAGGACTCAGGGGAGGGACGTTAGCAGGGCCATTTGGCCGAGAGCCTCAAGGTTGAGGAGCCTCAAGTTTTGGCTGCTGTTCAATGACAAGTCTGTGCAGAGGAACACAGTGAGGCTTTCTTACAAATGCAGACTTTGACCTTGAGCAATGTGGTTTTCCCGGAGGCATGCACTAGCCATTACAGAAGATGTTGCCATGGTGACTTATGAGTGCCCGCTGCTTGTGAGAGGGAGGAGCTCAGGCTGTGTCCTTCTGGAAGAGAGAGTTTTGTCGTGTTGAAACTCCTCCTACACATTTGGTGGCCTCTCTCCAAGATGGCACTTTGAGATATGAAAAGACTGTGTGTGTGTGCTCCTTGCAGACGGTAAGCGTGTCGCTTGATGAGGATCTTTTGAAAACACGGATTTCCTCACACGACCTGCTTCATGAGAGGTTTTCCTTTGAAGCATTTCTTATTTAGTATTTACTTTTCTCTTAGCTTTAAATTGAATTTATGTAAAATAGGATTTTGCAATCACCTTTTGTCTATTGATGCTTGTCCTTTTAAAATATCTGCTCTGTGTACTATTTTCAGGCTAATTTAATCTTTTACAATCCTCATCACTTGCCATTCAATAATTAATTGTTGTCAATTGCACACAGAATTGTTTTCAAATGTCAGCCTCACCCAGAACACAATTTAAGTAAAAAATAACCAACAAATAATGTAAGAATTTAGATCCTGCAGGCTTACAAATTTTCACTTGGCTCACAATGTATTAGGCGATCATTTTATTGTTATCCCATGGTTCATGATTAGATCCTATGGAAATCCATCACCACTGGTACTAGTTAAATATGAGGGTAGAAAAGGGAGGGGGACCTCAAAAAATCTGGTTTCACTGAAGATCCTTTGAAGTTGTTTAGAGTAGAGTGTGACCATGGAGAAAAATGTAAGACCTATTTAGGAGGTAAAAGCAGCGGAATTGTGTTGCACTGAGTGTGGAAGGTGAAGACAGGCAATAGCTGGAGACAACACGGAGGTTCCTGCTTGTGACCTGTGTGGCGGTTCCATTCCCTGAGATAGGGAAGCATCGAAGAGGACCGGCTTTCAGCTGGAAGACAACAAATTCATTCCAGAACATGTTGAGCTTGAGCAACCTTGTCTTTGTATTATATATTTATTGTAGAGATGGGGTCTTGCTATGTTGCCCAGGCTGCGCTTGAACTCTCGGACTCAAGTGATCTGCTCTCCTCAGCCTCTCTTCTTTTTTTTTTTTTTGAGACGGAGTTTCGCTCTTGTTACCCAGGCTGGAGTGCAATGGCACGATCTCGGCTCACCGCAACCTCCGCCTCCTGGGTTCAGGCAATTCTCCCGCCTCAGCCTCCTGAGTAGCTGGGATTACAGGCACGCGCCACCATGCCCAGCTAATTTTTTGCATTTTTAGTAGAGACGGGGTTTCACCAAATTGACCAGGATGGTCTCGATCTCTTGACCTCATGATCCACCCACCTCGGCCTCCCAAAGTGCTGGGATTACAGGCGTGAGCCACCGCGCCCGGCCCGTCTCAGCCTCTCAAATGCTGGGATTACATGCATGAGCCACTGCATGTGGCTACAGGAAACTTTTGAGATATCCCAGTGGTGAAGTAAAGTGGAGAGGATCTGGAGCTGAGAACAGAAGCTTGGGCTAGCAATGTCAATTTTGAAGTTATTATACATAGATAATGATTAAAGCTATCAGCAGAGCTGAGATGAATGGAGATCTAGAAATCTCAAGAAGAGTGTAGGCTGGGTGCAGTGGCTCATGCCTGTAATCCCAGCACTTTGAAAGGCCGAGGTATGTGGATCTCCTGAGGTAAGGAGTTCGAGACCAGCCTGGCAAAAATGGCGAAACCCTGTCTCTACTAAAAATACAAAAATTAGCCAGGTGTGGTGGTGGGCACCTATAATCCCACCTACTCAGGAGGCTAAGGCAGGAGAATCGCTTGAACCAGGAGGGTGAGCTGAGATTGAGTCACCACACTCCAGCATGGGTGACAGAGCAAGACTCCATCTCAAAAAAAAAAAAAAAAAAAAAAAGAGTATAGAAAGAGAACAGAGCTTCAGACAAAGCATTAAGTAATTGTGGTTTTAATGGTCAAAGGATTGAATGTCTCAAGAAGGTAAACGAGTTGATACTGTGCTAAATGCTGGTTAGAGATTAGGTAAAGTGAGTATGGAACAATGTTTAGAGCACTGGAGGTCCTGACCTAAACTACACAGGTGTGACGGGAGTGGCCTGGGCAATGCGAAGTGAGGAAATAAAAATTATAAATCTGTACACATCTTTCATTAAATTTAGTCTTAAAAGAGAGAAGAGAAAGGTGGACATTGCTGGAGGGAGTGCAAATCACGGCCCAGGTGTTTTTTGTTTGCTTTGTTTTAAGATGAGAGAGACATGAGCACGCCATGGAAAGAATCGGTTAAAAGGGATAGTTTGAAGCCACAGAGGAGCAAAGAGATAATTGCAAAAGTGGTAGGAATGGACATCCACAGCTCAGGAAGAAAGAACATCTCATGTAACAGAAAGCTCTAGAGGCAAGTGCCATGTTGGTGCAAAAATAATTGAGGTTTTGCCATTAATATTAAAGAAATCAGAGGGTTCTTGGTGGATGCTTTCAATTTACCCTAAGAAGCTGAGCGTGAGAAGGGAGGTAAAAGGATTAGAGGTTTGAGGAAATCAGGAAAGTTTCCGACTTCCTCAAACTGTTGTCCGAGATAGAAAGAAAGAGAGTGAACCAGAGAAATATATTAAGACTTCCAGGCAGTGCTGGAAGTGCATTAGAGACTGGTGATTATTCATTTATAAATGCCTCTTTTCACAGGCCTAATAGAAAGATTGCACAAAGCTTATCAGGTCATTTCAGATCGTTCTTGATGATTACTTTTAACGTGGACACCGCAGTAATCTTCCTATGAGTATGTTATCGTCTATATTTTCCTTTCATCATGCTTGAACATCAAATTCAAATCCAAGAGAAAAGTTAACGTAACTGAATCTGATTCTTTTTTTCTTTACAATTAAAATGTACCAGACTGGCTGAAGCCAATTAATCCATGAACCCGCCCAAAATACGAATATCTCAGTATTAGTATTTGCAATGCAGATAAGGGAACACAGATAAAGCCACGGCATAAAAACGGTGGCCTTTGCAAGCTGGGCTGCTGGGAGGGTTAGCTGAAAGTGTGCAGAATTTAATAATGCACAGGGAATAAGGGAGTCGTTAAGATGCACTTAAGGAGAGAGGTAGCATTCAAAACCACACTCGGAACATAAAATAAACTCAAGAGCTTCAGTGCCCGAAAGCAAAGTACCCACGTAACCTTGTGAAGGACTGTGTGAGACCAGCCGAAGGCTGCGTGGTGGTTAATTTCATGTGTCTACTGGTCTAGGCTAATGGATATCCAGCAAGCTAGTGAAATGCTGTTTCTGGGTGTGTCTGTGAGGACGTTTCTCTTCTTCAAAGAGACTGGCATTTGAATTGGTGGACTGAGTAAAGAGGATCCTGGGGAGACGCTGGCTGATGTGGGTGGGCCTCAGCCCATCTGTTGGGAGCCCGCGTAGAACAAAAGGCAGAGGAAGGGTACATTTTCTCTCTCCTGGAGCTGAGACGTCCATCTTCTCCTTCTCTTGGACATTGGAGCTCTTCATCCCTGGGCCTCTGGACTTACACCAGTGGCCTCCTGCTTCTCAGGTCTTTGGCCACAAACTGGGAATTACACCATTGGCTTTCCTGGTCTCTAGTTTACAGACAGCAGATGGTCGAACTTTTTGGCGTCCATAGTCATGTAAGCAATTTCCCACGATGTCCCCTTTTACATACCTAAATAGCTCCTAGAGGTCTGTTTCTCTGGAGAACTCTGATACAGGCTGATACAGTTTGAACGGCAGTGAAATAACAAAGAAGGAAGATAATGAATGTTGAGGACAATCATTCTGGGAGGAACAGAAATATGAAGAGAAACAGAGACAGAAATGAAAGAAAATATTGTAACTGCACCAGTGTTTATTACCTGGTCTCCTGCTATTAAGTTTCTGTCTCCTGGAGTCCTGGGGAGAGAAGGAGCTGGCGGTCTTTCTTCAGGTGTTCCATCTGAAATAGCAGAGCAGTTTCTTCACTGATGAGGTCTGGGGGAGTCCTAAAATGTGCCGGTCATTTCCATCTCCGCCTTTTCTCTTTGCTCTGTGTACTCTTGTGGGAGATGACCTTTCTCTTCATATAAGCACATCTCTCCTTTTTTTAGAAAGAGACAGGGTCTTGCTCTCTCAGCCAGGCTAGATAGAGTGCAGAGGCATGATCACAGCTCACAGCAGCCTCCAACTCCTGGGCTCAAGCATCCACCTGCCTTGGCCTCCCAAAGTGCTGGGGTTACAGGTATGAGCCACCGTGCCTGGCCTCTCCTTTTGTGTACATTCAAGAAATGTCTAAATAGAAGACCAGGATCCAAGTCAGGAGGTTCCCTTCACACCCACTCAGCGGCCCAAGGCAGCAGCCCGGAAATCTCCCTGCATTCTTCCACCTCCCTCACCACCCATCCATACTTATCCATCCACAAGTCCTCTCAGTTCCACCTCTGACACGTCTTTCAAATCCTTTCACCTCTCTCTCAATTCCCGTTTCTGCCTAGGGCCACCATTGTTCCTCACACAGATCACACACCTGCCTCTCTGCCCACGCCTGCCCTCCACTCCTCCCTAATTCAGCAGCTGCACAGCCAGAGATTTGTCCCCAATGCAAATCTGATCATGCCAGTTCACGCTAAGCTGCACAGTGGCTCTGGACCGCTCTAAGAATAGAGTCCAAACTTCTAAAACTTTGGCCGCAAGGCCCCTCGCCGGCCCTCTGTCTCACTCTCCCCAGCGTGTAGGTGCCTGCCTGGACTTGTCTCGGGTGCTCTCATCTCACCTGCTCTCCTCCTTCCCTCTTTTCCTCCATTCTCTTCTCTTCTTTGTACCTTATTCACTGGGCAAACTCCTAATGCAGATGGCCGTATACATACTGTTTACTCCAGAAAGCCCTTTTGAATCCAGTCGTTTCTTCTAAACCCCACCTTTTCCTTCCTTCAAACACCAATGTCAAGAGACCCCTGTTGGCTGGGTGCGGTGCTTCTTGCTTGTAATCCCAGCACTTTGGGAGGCTAAGGTGGGCCAATCACAAGGTCAGGAGTTTGAGACCAGCCTAGCCAACATGGTAAAACCCCATCTCTGCGAGAAATACAAAAACTTAGCTGGGCACGGTGGTGGGTGTCAGTAATTCCAGCTACTCAGGAGGCTGAGGCAGGAGAATCACTTGAGCCCAGGAGGTGGAGGTTGCAGTGAGCCCAGGTCATGCCACTGTACTCCAGTCCGGGTGACAGAGTAAGACTCTGTCTCAAAAAAAAGGAGAAAGAAACCCTTGTCAAACTTTATTGCACCTATTTGCTTGAAACCTCAAATATTATGACTGTCTAGTGAGGACTAACAATAATTCTCTTTCCTCTGTGTTTATTCTCTCTTCGCCCACTAAAGGGAGAGCTCCTTTAGGGAAAGAATTTGGTCTGCTTCATTCATCCCTGCTGCTCAGGACCCAGGAGAGGACTCAGCAGAGATGCTGTGTTAACTACCCCCGAATGAGTGAAGGCAATGAATGTTCAGGGGAGCCAAAGAAAGATGGTGTGGCCAGGCTTGGGTTCGAGTGTAAAAGCGGAATAGCGCGTTCCTGTGCTCTAGATCGGAGGTGATGGAGGCACTGCCACAGAGAGGGTCTCACTGGGAAGGTGAACCCAAGGAGGAAAGGGAAGGCAGGTTAGAGGATCGATCGTCAGGATCAGTCTAAGTACAGTGGCTGGGCCGTACTAACAAGTTTCTGAAAATATTCAGTTGAATGAATGATCACATGAATTCCTAATGCAGCCCACAGCCTTTGGGGACTTAGAAAATGAAACATGGGCCAGGTGCGTTGGCTCACACCTTGTAATTGTGGTGGTGTATGCCTGTGGTCCCAGCTACTTGGGAAGCTAAGGGAGGAGGATTGCTTGAGCCTGAGAGGTGGAGGCTGCAGTGAGCTGAGATAGTGCCACTGTCCTCCAGCCTGAGCGACAGAGTGAGAACTTTTTCTCAAAATAAATAAATTAATTAATTAATTAAAATTAGACAGGGAAAATGCTGATAAGACATTGAATTTTAGTAATGAGATTCCAATGTATTCATTTCCGGAAGAAATAAAACTGACAAGTGGGCTCAGAATTCGTAAGACCTACCTTATTTTCCCTGAAGATATAGAAAGTCAATCACATCATATTTCTTGATGAGCATAGATTCAGAGAAAGGGAAGTTACCATTCAAATGTTTCATCACATATGGGCTTAATTGCCCAATTCCTTCATTTCTGTAGCTGGTGGGGACACCTGCCTTGAAGCCCCTGCACCCTGTGTGCGAGGGCACCGCAGGCCCCAGCCTTTCAGACTGCTGTTTTCATCCCCACATTACAGTGACACATAATTTAGATAAGCCAACATCTTCGACTGGGTTATTAGGGCCTTTAACCAGCCTGGGAGTGAGTCCTTAACCAGCCTGGGAGTCCTTAACCAGACTGGCATATCGCTATTGTGCTCCCTTGGAAGTTCCGATTTTATGCTGGAACTTTTCCAAGAGCAACCACCTTTCCCTCATTTCCAAGTCCAGAGGAGTCGCCTGCCCAAGCAACGTTTTCCACTTGAGCATTCTGAGCCTGCAGAGGTGGGTGGAGCTGTAGACGGCATTAGGTAATTTACTGGGTCATTGACTTGTTTGAAATTGAGGGCTTCTTGGCAATGACATTTGAAAAGAGAAAAACGTTGAGTCTAGGAGACAAGACAAGAATGAGAACAGCTATCGAAAGGTCCACAGCAAGGCGGCTGAGATTGCTTAGTAGAAAGAGGTTGGGGGCCAAGTGCCCACACTGAAGCTAGAGCATAGTCATTTTAAAACGGACAACCTGTACTTGGTAATGTGTGCAAACACCTTGTTATTTGTGTCTTCTATAATTACTGTCTTCTTATTCTCCCTTGATGTGTGCAAGTTCTTGTAAACACTGAACAGTCTCTTAATGGTATTAATGGCTGACAATAGCTCTCTTTCCTCTGTATGTGTTTATTCTCCCTCATCCCACTAACGGGACAGCTCCTTTAGGGAAAGAGTTTTGTCTGCTTCATCCATCCCTGCTGCTCAGGACCCAGGAGAGAGCGGAGCAACGATGCTGCATTGACTGTCGCCAAGTGAGTGAAGGCAATGAATGCTCAGGGGAGCCAAAGAAAGATCGTTTCAGCCAGGCTTGGGTTCGAGCTCAAAGTGGAATCGTGTGTTCCTGTGGCCCACACTAGAGGCAGTAGAGGCAAAGCAACAGAGGGTCCCACTGGGAAAGTGAAGCCCAAGGAGGAAAGGAAGGCAAATTACAGAAACAGCTGAGCCCAGACAGGCTGTCATCTGCCAGTGCTCCCCTCAGCTGAGGACTGGGAGAGCTTGTGTTTTGTATGAATATGAGAGGTGCCACTAACAAGTGCCACTAAGCCAAATAGCAGTGAAGAAATCTGGCTTAGAAGAATATAGTGTTTGACAAATATTAACTTATTGACAGTAACAAAATGTCACACAAATAAGTTACTTTTTAATCCACAAATAAACCAAAACAGAACAAAGGAAAAGATTAGAAACAATTTCAATAGCTTTGCTAACTTGACTTTCTGAAACTGTTCTGAGCCACACTTTCACTATTTTCATCTTTAAAAAATAAAACCAGTAAGCCTGGAACCTGGACTAAGAAAACAATTAAAAAATAAAAAAATAAAAACTGGTTGGGCACGGTGGCTCACGTCTGTAATCTCAGCACTTTGGGAGGCCGAGGTGGGGGGGATCACTGAGCCAGGAGTTCAAGACCAACCTGGGCAACATAGTGAGACCCCATCTCTATTAACAAAAAAAATTAGCCAGATATCCTGGCGCACGCCTGTAGTCCCAGCTAATCGGGAGGTCGAGGTGGGAGGGCTGCTGGAGCCCAGGAGGATGAGGCTGCAGTGCACTGAGATCCTGTCATTGTACTCTAGACTGGGGGAAAGAGCAAAAGCCTGTCTCAAAAATAAAATGAAATAAAACGACCCACTTCCATTCTCCTCGTGGCCTTTTAATAGTGCTACATCAGAAAGTTATATAGATTAAATCACTTTAGCTCTCTGAAAATATTTTACAGAATCATCTTGGAATCTTATGCTCCTAACTCGCCACAAGAGAGGCTATGTGTTTATGAAATTTCCATTGAAGACCTACCCTGCCTTAGCTGTTCAGTATCTCAGGATCAGCTTCTCTCACCGTTTTATACTGGAGAACAAGTTCGTCTCCTAAAGAATGAGTGACTTTTTAAAATGTCAGGTAACAACAGACACATAAATCATCATCCCTTGCTGACTGCCATGAAGTCACGGCTAAATGTCGGGCTCAGCTACAGATCCTGGCACAGGAATCCTTCAGTTCAAGAAGCACGCAGGCCAAGCTTGTGTGTCTGTCCCTGCCATGCTGTAAAATCACAGAAATGTGTGAATGACCAGGATTTTATTCATGCTGCTTCGTTTTGTCCCATGATGAGCTCCAGGAAAATTCCAGCCTGCCCCTGTTTTTTCCCTCAGTCTCTTCCAGGTGACGTTCCTTCACTACTGTTGCCTTCGTTTAAGTTGGCACACAGAAAATTACGCTAAGTGATTATGTGCTTTATACTTTTTTGAGACGGAGTTTTGCTCTTGTCGCCCAGATTGGAGTGCAGTGTCGCAATCTTGGCTCACTGCAACCTCTGCCTCCCAGGTTCAAGCAATTCTCCTGCCTCAGCCTCCCAATAGCTGGGATTACAGGTGTCCACTACTATGCACAGCTAATTTTTGTACCTTTAGTAGAGATGGGGTTTCACTATGTTGGCCAGGCTGGTCGTGAACTCCTGACCTCAGGTGATCCACCCACCTCGGCCTCTCGAAGTGCTGGGATTACAGGCGTGAGCCACTGCACCCAGCCAACTACCTACACTTTTTATTTTATTTTACTTTTTTTTTTTTTTGTAGGTGGAGTTTTGCTTCGCTCTTGTCCCTCAGGCTGGAGTGCAATGGTGCAATCTCTACTCACTGCAACCTCAAGCAATTCTCCTGCCTCAGCCTCCCAAGTAGCTGGGATTACAGGCACCCACCACCACACCCAGCTAATTTTGGTATTTTTAGTAGAGACAGGGTTTCACTGGGTTGGTCCAGCTGGTCTCAAACTCCTGAACTCAGGTGATCCACCCGCCTCAGCCTCTTCAAATGCTGGTATTACAAGCATGAGCTACTGGGCCCAGCCTACCACCTACATTTTAATGATCCTTACGTAGCTTTAATTGCAAATTCCTAAACTCTTCTTGAGTAGACTGACTTTTGAAAAATGCATGAATTTTTTAAAACAATTAACTCTACATATAGTATATATCAATTAAGCGACGGTTTCTTCAAAGACGGAGGTGAAATCTTTTGGGATCCAGTTTCATGGCATAGTGAAAATTATGACAGTGATTCATTTCAGCAAGTACTAAGTACCTACTCTTCCCCACAGGCCTGGCTGGGCTTAGAGATGGAGGAAAACTTTAAAGTAATGGAATACAGTATCTCTTTGAGATATTAACCTTCAGTGACTGAGGGGATGTGACCTGTTTACCTGAAAACATTTTTCTTTTCAAAGCAAAGCGAAGATTAATTTTAGAGATTTGAGGTTTGGTTAGTCTTGGAAGGTTTTGTGGACTTCAAATTTGATCTTAAAAGAAGTGTAGGGTAGGCCAGGCTTGTAATCCCAGCACTTTGGGAGGTCGAGGCAGGTGGGTCACCTGAGGTCAGGAGTTTGAGACCAGCCTGGCCAACATGGAGAAACCCTGTCTAAAAATCTAGCTGGGCCTTGTGGTGCTCAGCTGCAATCCCAGCTACTCGGGAGGCTGAGGCAAGGGAGTTGCTTAAACTCGGGAGTCGGAGGTTGCAGTGAGCCGAGATCGCATCATTGCACTCCAGCCTGGGAGACAGAGTGGGACTCTGTCTCAGAAAAAAAAAAAGAGTTTAGGATTTAGATGATGAGAAATAAAGAAAAAAACTCGGTTCCAGGAGAGGAAAAACATGAACCGAGTTTGCATAAAGGGAACCAGTAGTGAGCCGTGGGGGTGGGCAGGGTGGAGACCTCAGGTGGAGAGTTAGGCCAGAAATGTGCACTCGCCTAAGAAAACTGGTTGGAAGGCTGACCAGGGACTGGGGAGTTAGGGGTTAATGTCTCGATCTGATATACGCTAAAGAACCGTTGTGAACTCTTAATCAGAGCAGGGAGATAAGGGAAAGAATCCACTTGTGCAGATAAGAGGCTTTGTAACTACAGAGAGGAGTCCGATACGAAGGTTTTCATTAGTATCAAGAGCTAGCTGAGCTACAGAAAATTTCTAGCTTCTATACAAAATGAAGGTTTATCTAGAACAGCAGAGAGGAGAAGAAAAGGAAAAGGGCATTGAAGGATAGCTTTTAGTTCAACAAAGAAGAACAAAAGACTCAGGCTTCCCTACATCGTAGGGCTTAGTAAGCCCTACGGTTGTTACTGTGATTTTCATTACCAGTGTAAGATGATTTTGCATTATGTTTTAACAGCAATGGAAAGTAAGAAAAACTTGCATTTGTTATGTGCCAGCTAGGTTAGAATCAGATTTCTTCTTTTCCCTGAGATGTAGAGTATCCCTAACTTTTACAGTTGAAGATGGAAGTTAGGTTCAGAATGGCTAAGAAACACACAGCTAGTAAGTGGTAGAGCCTGGATCTGGACCCCGACGTGTCTGGCTCCAAAATCCATGCTTCTTCCACTCTGTGTCTGAACTGGGAATCAAAAATCTGCCAGAAGCTAAAAGAGCAAATGTGTGATTGAAAACCAACGACCGCTCTAAACTAACCCAAAGAAAGAGTCAGTGAGAAGGAAGGGGAACGGTCCACAGTGAAGCACGGAAAAGGGAGGGGCCTGAGAGGCAGAACTGGGAGAGGATTTAGCTCCGTACAGCAGATGGTTTAGTGACTGATCGATCCTCAGCATCAAGTGGCTTCCGTGAAGCACAGGCAGTGTTCTGGCTTTACGAGGCTGGGATGCTGTCTCCCTGATCTTTAATACAGAGGTTTTATCGTAGGCTTCCTGGATACCTTGTTAGAGAGGCATACGCAGTCTCCATACCACAGAGCACCTAGAAAGGAGAGTTCAGAGCTGGAAAGGAGATTGTCATTCACGTGGTAAAACATCGATGATCCTGTTGATACCCTGGCCACTTGTGAATTGTATTAGCATGAACCTCTTTCTCCATGGACCTAATCAACATGTCATACTAATGAGATGAAGTTTCTGAATGTGTGAAACTAAGGAAAGAATATCCTAAAGGAATCCTAGCATGAGACCCCTAGGTGGCCAAGCAGAGGGCCTCTTTCTGCGGATTCCACCCCTTAAGAAGTTTAACAAAGGTGGGGTGCATATCACTTAGCAGTTTCTGTCCCTTACTGTGACTCCACTTCCTGAAACCCTCTTCTGCTCAAATTATCCTACCTGAAGTTTTAGTTTGGAAGTGGCATACATTCTTTTTTTTTTTTTTTTCTGAGGCAGAGACTCTCTGTTGTCCAGGCTGGAGTTCAGTGGTGCAATCTCGACTCTCTGCAACCTCCGCCTCCCGGATTCAAGTGATTCTCCTGACTCAGCCTCCCGAGTAGCTGGGACTACAGGCACCCTGCCATCATGCCAGGTTAATTTTTGTATTTTTGTAGACATGAGGATTCACCATGTTGTCCAGGCTGGAGTTCAGTGGTGCGATCTCGACTCACTGTGACCTCCGCCTCCCGGATTCAAGTGATTCTCCTGCCTCAGCCTCCCGAGTAGCTGGGATTGCAGGCATTCTGCCATCATGCCTGGTTAATTTTTGTATTTTTGTAGAGATGAGGATTCACCATGTTGTCCAGGCTGGTCTTGAACTCCTGACCTGAGGTGATCGGCCCACCTCAGCCTCCCAAAGTGCTGGGATTACAGGTCTGAGCCAGCGCGCCCAGCTGCATACATCAATTCTATTCACATTTTACTCATCAAAGCAGGTCACATGGCCAAGCCTCATGTAAATGATGTGTGCAAGTATAATCTTCCATAGGAAGGGCAACCAATAATTGAGAGTCACAGTGTAATCTACTACATGGTATGGATTTGCTTACTAATTTGTCTA